TCTCACCGTTTCCTCTGTCTGGAAACCATGCAATCAAATAACACACATTCACGAAAGAGATCTATACAATCTGTTATGTCATTCAATTCCATTGCTTTTCAAGAAAACATCATTTTTCAAGAAGTACAGATGGACTTTATTGGAAATAAATAGATGTTCCAGCATAATGAAATAGGAAAATAAATGTACTCTATTTCATTGTCTGAAAAGGGTGGGGCTTCCTGTTTACAAGTATCCATTATCCAACATTACAAAAATGATTCATTTTTATAAATCATTACAAACTCTGAAGGCATTATTGTACTTGTAAAGACATTTTCTAAATCAATAGATTTTTCAAGGAATATAACACGAGGAAGTAATAACAGTATTGCCCCATATTTCTACTTGATTTTAATTTCATTTCAATTTTGTTAAATTTCCATCACAGAATATAGTCAATACTAAAATCAAAATGATCAATTACTCACACTGAAGCATAAATAATCCCAAAATCTATGAATATTTACATAAAACAATATTTCAGAATGTCTGATGAAATTTCCAGTGGGGGATTTACAGACTGGAATTCCCCTAGTATAAATATAAGTACAAAATCTTACATCTTTGGGGAGAACATGTATAAATACCGTAACCCAACTCACAGGAACAAAAAAAAATCATTTTTAAATCAATATTTAACCAAGAACAGAAATTACAGTGAAAATGTCAAATTATGATGAGAAATAGCAAAATATTTACATTTGATTACAGTCAAAATGGCGTCATCCTGACGGTTAATGGCAGCTTTAAATAAAAATATATACTTGGCATTCCCTTAAAATTGTCATTAACTCTAAGGAATAATTACTTTGTAAACAAACGAAATTCTTACCTGGTCTACCCTAAAAACTTGCTTTCCTATCTATTTTTATCAATAATTGATTTTTTCCTTGTTCTGTAGTTTTTCATTGTTTTCGCGAACTGTCGCTTTTAGACAATTCGTTCGTCATTTCATTCTCATTCAATTGGTTAAAAACACACTAACTAAAAAGTTTCGTAAAATGCTTTGTCTGTTATTTATGTCTCTGGTCTGACATGAGCAAAATCATTCCTCTACCCATTAAAAGATTTTAAACAGATTCATTAACATAAATTTTAGGCTTGGAACTGAATTTCTTTATTTAAGTTTGCATGGACCGGGGAAAGGGCAAAAAAGACCACAGGAGTTCGCAATTTTATCAATAAAGTCAATAAAAATCACTCCGATTGACCAAGCCATGAGCTATGCGGTAGCATAGTTATGCTAACGCATAGCTCATGACTTGGTCAATCGAGTGACTGCTATGATTTTTATTGACTTTATTGATAAAATTGCGAACTCCTGTGAAAAGACGTTTATGCCCCCCCCCCCCCCAAAGTCAGGGGTCGGGGGTTATTGATTATTGAGTGAAAATGCGTTATTTCCTTTAAAAAAAAAAATCTTTTTCTCTCCTGGGTATGTAGCAGATACACTAAAAGCATTGTTATGACGAGCGAGTTTGCCTCTTTCAAAATTTCAAAACCCCTTTGTTAGGGGTTCTGGAGTTAGAGTACAAATATTTGTTTAAACTGTATACTGTGATGGAAACTTAAACCCATGGTTAGATTGTATACCAAAAATATGTAACATGTATGGTTTATCAAATGTATGGTACGAACAAGGTGTCAATATGAATTATAAATGGATAACTGCTACTGTAAAACAAATATTACAAGATCAGTTTATTCAAAAGTGGTCTAGTGACGTAAATAATTCTTCAAAAGGACATATTTACAGAATCTTTAAACAAAACTTTGGATCTGAACATTATATTGATAAGTTATCTCCTAAATTTAGAAAAAAATACATAAAATTTCGAACTGCAAATCATCATCTGCCAGTAGAGACTGGAAGATGGTATGGTATACCACTGTGTGATAGAATATGTACACTTTGTAATAATACTCAAACTGCTGATGAATTTCATTATATCTTAGAATGTAAAACTTTATATCTTAGAATGTAAAACTTTAGCTAATGTAAGAAAAAATTACCTGGGCAATTATTATTCCCATAGACCTAATGTTATTAAATTCATGAAACTAATATCAACTAAAAACGAAAAAATGCTGAAAAAACTATGTATGTTTATCTTAAAAATTTATGATGCTGTCTGTCCTCCTTGATATATTTCCCCCTCTCTTATTTATTTATTTTCTTTCCATCATCTGTCATGTTTTTTGTTTTGTATATGTACCTCTGACCAGATTGTATATAATGTATATATGTTATTAATGAACCCCATGTACCAATATTTTGGTTTGGGTGAATAAATTGAACTTGAACTTGAGAGGAGTTATTATTCCCCTTTGCAATTCACCTATGATAATTAATCACGGTAAATAATCATTTAATTTAATTAATTTAATTGAAAGGCCACGGAAGAATTTGTATAATACATAATACAAAAATTAATTGCATAGTTTTTATTAGGCAGGCAGACTTGTTAATGATAAATAAAAATGAGACATAAATACTCGTACCTTATCTTTGTATATTAAATGTTCTTCAAAGACCGAGAGAGGCCAATGTGAAAATGAGATTGACTTGCTAATAGTACTCAAGCACTGTTTTGTTTAGTCTGCATGGTAATAGTGACAAATATGGGTAAGTCAGGCAAGTAAATATAATACTTTAAGATTTGTTACTGAGTGCTAGACTAATTATTTTGATGATCCCTGATCATCATATTTCTCTGACTTTGGGCAATATAGCTTCATCTATCAGTTTATTTTGTTTTATGCTATACTTCTGTGGATCCTTCACATGGTTGTATTTATATTCTAGTGACCGCTATAAGGTCTTTGGGCCTCTGGTGTGTCTCCCAGTTGATTCGATATGCATGAGAATTAACTACGTACGAACAATTTCTAATACGAGACAGTCTACTGACAAATAAATTGATTATACAAGGTATCAAATTTCTTGTTGAAAGTCAACATTTCGCAAATTCTATGGTTAAAATGGACTTTTGAGCATGATAATTGTTTGGTATCTTCACATTTCTTTTCAAATTGGGTGTCTAAAGCCTCACCAAGAAGTGTACATCATTTGACTCCTCCTTACTTGCGTGTGATTGTGGTTGTTTGATCGTTTTGCCGTTTTCATCTCCAGCTCTCGAGCTTTCTTTTTCTTGGACAGTTTTCAAAGATAAATAGAAGTGAAATTTTAAATTAGTTAGGTTAGTACTTTTCTTAATCATATGGATCTCTTATTTGACGATGCACAGTCGTGCATTTTGAGTAATGTGTTGTTCTTGACTGAACAAACCACAGGCACCTGACGGATTACTTTTTTATAGTTTAAAATGTTACAATATTTCTGTATACTTGTGTGTATAAGAATACTTTCTATTTACGATCGATGTTTCCTTACAGTCCATTTCCACGTCATCCCCCACATCGCATCGCCATCGAATGGTTACCACTCTTAATACTATGTTTTTTTTTAACATGTGGGTTATTTGAACACTATCGCTTTATGAAGTTTTCATCGATATCGCTTCGATATCGAATCGTGTTTGCTCAACCCATGGCTGACACCGCCCTTGCTATAATTGTGTATCTGACGAAGATTGTACTGTATATCGCATCAATATCGAATCATTTGTGCTATTTTTGTCATCGCTCTTGTGGCTGTATTTCTTCATGCAATATTTGTGTGTATTTACTTTCCTATAACTAAGTTTGTCCTACTGTCAGTATCGAATCATGATTGTTCAAAACATGTTTTTACCAACCTTCTCCTTACCCCTAACCCTGACAATAAGGACCCTTAACGCTCTGTTTGTCATCCTTATTTATTTACAATGAATCAATATTGATTTTGTGGTCTTAAATAATTAAGTTATACCTTAACTTGAAAATAAATTTTACACTTCAGGATCGATATCGATACGATATCATCATGATAAAGTCGATATCGACATACAGCTCTCTGTCTTGTACATAGTATCCAGTATTTTCAATTCCATAGTACTGATCAGGATCGGTATCGATACGATATTGTTAATATCGTTAATGTCAATATCGACATCGAATTCGTCTTGGACATGCATGTTTAACCCACCTAACCTTCGGAGAATTTTCATTAGACTCGAAAACTTATCAGAAATACATGCATTTCTAGCCTCCATACCTATATTCCAATATCTGATAGAATTTTTCGCTCTTGTTAAGGTTAAGAGATTGGCCCTATATAAATTAAAAAGGGTATTATTTATTTGTATACCGTAGAGGCGTAGACGGCCAAGTTCTGTAACTTAACAAAAACGGAAAACGATATGAGATATCGGAATATAGGTATGATAGGCTAGGAATTCATGTATTTTTGGTAAGTAATCGTGTCTAATACAAATTCTCAGAAAGGGGACGGGGTTACATCATCCATTCATCAGGTGTCTGTAGAAGAAACGCTTTAAGTTTCCTATACACTGTATATTTACAATGATAATCCAAAAACACAAAGATCTGGTTCCTTCTTTGTGTATAATACTACATATTTTCCAAGAAAATCCTTGAAGTACATCACCTGACAGCGGATCGGCTTATTCAAATGCATATAGTGTGTCATTCTATGCTTTCTCCAAAAGATGAGTATATTTGTTCAAGCAGAAACAAAACTGAGCTACATGTATTAAAGACAATTTCTACTACATAGTAGCATATTCTCTCTCTCTCTCTGTGTGTGTGTTTGTGTTTAACATGTATACACTTGTAAAATTATAGGCCCGGTGATTATTTTGGAAATATGCTGAGGAATTTAAGCTAAATATCTTCGAATAGTTAAATTACTTATACATGGTTCGATAAAATACAGTACGATCTTGTGTAGAGAGACCTTTACACTAGTTTATCGGCTAAACTGAAATTGGATTCATTACACTTACAGTTTAACAAGTCTTTGAAATTATAAAAGATGCACTATACACGTATATGGTTCATATAAGAAAAATCTGCATCAGATCGCTGCGACAGCTGGTCTGATCTAGAGACAAGGCCAGTGTGGTGTTGTCTTTCGATACACAAACGGCCTGAGGACTTATGATCCCATCATGGCGGGACAAAAATTCTTCCTTGAGTCTTCCGTTCTCATCAACTCTGTGCACAGTGTCCGAACCCCATCCCGCGATGAACATCTCGCCATTCGATGTCATAGCTAGACCACGTGGGCTCTTCATGTTAGCGTGCGTGTAGTGAAACCGTCTGTATACAGATCTAGTGATAGATGTAACCCGATTCCTTTGACTATCGCTGACAAAATATGAGTTTCCAGTTCCATCAAATGCGACATACCATGGACGAAGAAACAAAGACTGCAGGTTCTCTTCTGGAGTTAGATTCATCAATTCTTCTCCTTTTCTGGAAAGAATTCGGACAGAAGCTGGTGATGCAAAAGGACACGTTACTACAAATTTGTCCTCTTTTGAAGAATAACTTATTCCGTAGCAGCGATCGTTTATCTTCAGTTCCTCTTGTAAATTGATTCCAGCTAGGACCCTGAAGACCAATATTTTCATTTCCTCTGGCACCGTCACAGCAACCACGTGGTCATCGAGGCAGGTGGTGTCATATGGCGTTTGTTCGAGGATGTGCTCCGATTTAATCTGAAACTGACTGTCATAAAGTTTTAATTTTTTGTTTCCTTTGTCACAGAGAAGCCAGTCTAGTGAAGGCAAAGAGAGAATGCCAGTGATCAAACACACATTCTCGTCAGACCGAGTTCTCACAGACACTGTTTTGTCCGCTAACCTACGTTTTATCTCTGTAGGTTTTGGTTTATGTTCTGTCTGTCTGGATTTAGAGGGCAGCTGCTGTGTTTTCTTGTTGTTTCCAATATCATTCACGACAAGCTCTCCTACAGAAGTCAAGGTGTTCAGCACATCATCTAGTTGACTGTTGATCACAAAATTAACCGTTGGCAATCCACACATTTCTTTGTATTCTTCAACAACTGTCGAGTGACTGACGTTCCTACCTCTAACTTGTTGGAGACATTGCAAGATGTGACCATCTGTACCATAATCTTTCACATTGCCGAGCAATTGATTTGTGTGTGAACATTCTGCGTTTAAGGATTCTAATTTTTGTATGTCATGTTGCAATTTTTCTCGAAATTCATTTTCTATCCCAGCAAGTTTTTCCAAAGACTTTCGTTCGTATTTACTTAGCATTTCATCGATACGCTTTCGAACACTTCGAATACTATTGCTTAAGTTCAGAAACGAATTGTCCAGTTCTCGGAGAGATGCCTGTGACGACTGTAAGGCGTTATTAGTGATCTGAAGATGTTCTGAAGTTTTCGATGAGATATCTTGAATGTCATGCGACTTGACTCTAACTTCGTCGTTGACGGTCCTGATCGATGTACAGTCTTTGTGTTTCTCTCCGGTACAAAGCGAACATATTAGTTCGTCATGAGCTTCACAGAATGACGTCAGAGGTTGATGTTCATGATTCATACAGTTTGGATCGAAAATGATCTTCTTTGTTTCTCTGGATTTGACTTCCTGTAGGTCCAGAATGGTATGTTTCATCGTAGTTTTCAATGAACCGTGAACGTCGAGGCAATTTATACAAAGGGTCTCACGGCAAGTTCGACACCATTTACTTCCTGTTGTTGACCTCCTCTTCCGGTTGCAAGGAGAACAATAGACATCATCTATTTTCAGTTTATACACTTCCGTTAGGGCGGATACAAAGTCACTCGGTGGAAGTTGCTCAACCCAATCTTCGGGAGATTTGTTTTTGGTTGGTGTTAGCTGTTTGCAAATTGGACAGGAATATGCATCTAGTCTTGTACTTAGATTTTGTTTCAGATCATTTCGAATACACTCTTTACAGAAATCATGCAAACACTCCAAATGACAAGGGTCAGTAAATTTTTTGGAACAAATTTTACAGGTTATAAAGGCTGAATCCATTGTTTATGATCACAATGATCTGTAAAAAAAAAACAAAACAAAAAAAAAAAAAAAAAAACAACGGAGGGTTACCAATATGTTTATTGGATCATATACATGTGCCTTATTCTTAATGACCACAAGCACAGAAAAGTCATAAATCCATGGTTCAAACAATCAATTAATATTGGTAAAAACATTTAGATACAGCTCGTTTTATTTCTAGCTATAAGTAGGAACGTATAATTATTGAGACAATCTTTTTAGAAAATTTTCATGACATCGCAAGGAAAAATAATTTACTTCAAAAGAAGATGTTAAATGAATGTTACCTCTATAAATCTGCTACGGGATCGCAGATATACAGGTTCCAATTTGAAAGGAAATCTACCGGAAAAAGAACGTGACGGCTCTTTTAAGCTCTTCTGGCTGATTGGAATTCAAGCATATGTAAATTTCATTGTACATGTACATACAGTATGTACATTCTAAAGGTATGAAGAGAAGAATGCACTTTAAAATCGAAATTTGGTTAAAATGTGGAACATATTGATTTTAAGTTATATAGATAATATCTGAACATGAACCGTGGGGCTACTATAGAAGGAACTTGCATTATATTCTTTATTTCTTTTCAGCGATGACAAACATTAACTGAAAGCAAACCAGAGGAAATGGATTTAAAAGAAGTCAATAAAGCACCAATATAAAAGATCAATAACTGATATTGAGCACAACCAATTCTTTTTAAATAAATAATGATGTAAAGTCACGCTCTGCTAAAGAGTTTTACTTTATGTGTCTTTAGATTGCTTCAAAACATACATTTATTAAACCTTTTATATATACCTTCACTGATTCCTCCAGTAAGCCAAGAAATACTGCCCCTAGTCCAGATTTAATGTAAACTTAATAAAAACGCTATTTGCCAAAAAAAAAAAAATAATAATAATAAAAATAAAAAAATAGATAAATAAAAAACGCTTAACATTGATATTCTTATGAGAGAGATCTGAGGCTATCATGGCAGCAGTTTAGAGGGAGATGGTTCTCTAACTAAAACAGGTTTTAAATTATTAACGAATTATTCTACACCACTATCAATAATTATCATTTTTATATACTGGGTGCTTTTTTATATCGTGAGGAACAGGGGACTGAATATATTTTTTATTATGTTTGACAAACCATTGATGCAGAAAAGGCGTTTGATGTAGTATGGCATGAAAATTTGCTGTGCAAACTGTATAAAGATGGTACTGAAAGTGACTTTTGGAACTGAGTGAAATCTCTACATACTGATGCTTACACTATAATAAAATGGAACGAAACTCTATCAAAATATAAGACAGCAGGGCAAATTATCTACACTAATGTACAAAAGATTCAATATAATGATCTGAACCGATTCTCTGTAGTCAATTCCTGAAAGGGTGTATATCGGATCCCTTGCTATTACCTCACCAACATGCGCAGATATGGAATTGCTCTATTAACTTCAAATCAAAAAGATGAACAGGTCCTGACTAATATTGTAGAAACAACTTCAAATACAAATTCAGTATAAACTCGTCAAATACTTGTTTCTTAATACTGGTCAAAAAAAAAAAAAAAAAAAAAAAAAAAACCAACAAAAAACAAAAATAAAAACATCGAGGTCAAAGCTCGAAAATGATGTGATTAAGTAACCTCCTTAAAACCTTTAGGTTTTGAAAGAAACCCAACAAATTCTCCTTATATAGTTCAAAGAATAGAAACTTCACGAACTCTTTATGCTCTACTAGGAAGTGGCATTCATGATCAAAAATGCGCTATCCCTTATCATTACTGTAAATATGTAGACGACATTTGTTATACCTAGACTCCTCCATGGGATTGAATTATCAAATGTAAGGAAAATGGATCTGGAGAAACTCGAAAGATATCAAAAGAAGGTGTTGAAGCAACTTCAAACTCTCCCCTAAATGACTGCGTCAGTAGCCACTATAGCCAGCAATGGAGCCAAAACGATAGAGGCCCATACTGATTCCTTTCCTTAATGTTGCCAAACATCCCTCAACATTAGAGCATCAAAATAGCAGTACGACAGTTCATAATAAAGTCTGGAAGTAAAGGTTCCAACTGATTAATTAGGACCAATTAAAAGTACGTAAGAAAAGTATGATCTGCCAGATCCACTCGATCTATTAGGAAATATAAGAGATACTTAATTAGAAGCCAATCAGTGGAAGCAGGAATAAAAAAAAATGTCATGATTATTGGCAAATTAAAAATGAAATTGAAATTTCAGGAAACGTTTCCCTACACGATCTCAAACTACAGACAAATTCGTGTTGACATCCTCATCTACTATGGCAGGCAAGTACAGATTCTCCTAATGCTTCCAGGAAAGCCATTGTAAAAGCCCAACTCGCAACAAACACCTACCGGTAACAAACCAACACAAACAAGTTTAATCAGTATGAAGTGAATAGAGAGTGCTTGTTATGCCAGGAGAGTATAGAGGATAGGCTCCATTTCTTGTTAAAATGTCGCCTATTCTATACATGACACTAGACAGCCATTATACGTGACCGAACTAGCATATCCTATCTCAGCAAGGAAACTGGTAGCCAGGAGTCAAATTCATAATTATATATCAAGACGAGAGAATATTACTGCAAATCATTATCGACTCCTCCCATACTATATTTTCACAGAACAACTCAAAAAACTTCATTGAAAATCCAGGGATTTACAGAGAACCTGACCCGCAACATAGTATTCGGTCTACACTGTCATAGAGCAAGACGAAGTGAGAGAGTCTAAAAACAGTGTGGGGAAATACCTGTGAAAAGGGCTGAAAACAGTACGAGGAAATACCAGTGAGAAAGGTCAAGAAATACTATGGAGAATATTCAGAGAGAGAGAGAGAGAGAGAGAGAGAGAGAGAGAGAGAGAGAGAGAGAGTCTGCAAACTGTGGGGAAAATTTGCTCACGGCCTACAACTAAATTTTAATGTAGGGTCATGTAAATATTGAAAAAAAAAAAACAAATAATTTATGCTGATGTACAATTACTTCTCTTATTTTAAAGGCTGACTTTATATAGCACTCCTAATTTTATATTTATTGCACAATAGTGAAGTAGGTTTTACTAACTCATTTTCATCCATCACTTTTCTCTTTTTGATTCAAATTTTATCCTCTTTTCTATTATATACCATCTTCTGGGATGATCCTTTAGTAGGGACTTCCCTTACTGAACTAGACATTGATTCCTCCTTCAGGCCTGAAATAGAACACAGGGGTGGGGCGGGGGGGGGGGGTCTGCTCCTCCACTTTTTCTGAGTATTGCTATAGTAAACTTTCCCGCTTTTTTGTGTTAAGGTCGAGCACTGCAAAATTCCATGATTTGGACATTTAGTTATTTTTTAATTGTCAGAATTATTCTGAGAAGCCCCCCCCCAACAATTTAGCTTTTTGTCCAAGGTTGCTCGTCAGATTTTTTGGAAGCCCCCCCCCCTTTTTTCAAACCTTTGCTACGGGGCTGTCCTAATTATTTTCATTTACACATGTATATGTGAAATAAAAATGTAAATATAGTTTAAAATGCTTTCTAAATAATTAGAATACAAGAAGCACTGTGTGAAAAATATCAATTTTATTCAATGGATTATTTTCACTTTTCAACGCTAAAATACTTAAGTTTTTACATGGAAAAATTCATGATATTTCGCCTTAGTTTCAGATGTTTAAATGCAACAAAACGCTATTTATTGCCTAAGGGGACAACCCAACGATTTGATTCGGGGCGAGGGGGTGCTAGCAAAATTTTAATTAGGAAACAAATATATATGGAACCGAATATTTAGTGTGCGAGATAACAAAGTGACAAAACTTTCGACCAATCATATGCAATGTAACAAAAACATTCGGAAAATAGTAAACAGCAGAGGGCGATGTCTGCCACTTGTGAACTTCCGGAATAACGAGTAGCAGTTTCCTGAACAAATTTTGTATCAGAATGTAGACACAAAGTGATACACACAACCTGTACAAAGTTTAAACGGAAAGTGAAGCGTGTTAATGATTAAACAAGGGAGTTCGTTATCCATGGTAAACATCTGCTGGTGCCCGATTACAGCAAAGGGCTTGTTCAGGGAAAAAAGTCCAAAACTTTCATTTTAGATTTCATATTCATAGTACAAAGTCTTGATAATTTAGAATAAAAGCAAAGCAAGATAAGGCCAAAAGAACTCTAAACATTTTGAGTTTTTATTGATGGAAATTGAATGCTGCAAGAAAACCACAACCTATTTGATCAATTGAAGTCAGATAATAACTTGTTTTGAAATCGTAAGACAGAACCTAGAACTGCCCTTTATGCCTGAAAACTCATGAAACAACAAACAGACAAATTTTCCTGTTCCTGTTAACCCATTTTTTTTAAATTTGAAACTTTAAAAAGAAGCTAATTATAAAAGCTAATCACAATGAGTTTTGATTTGGGAAACACAGGCTCAGATGAAGAGGAATATGATCCATATTCAATGATGCCTGTTACTAAACTTGTGGCCTTGTATGATTATTCTTATCAAGATGATGATGGTCATATAGTTCATATGAAAGAAGGGGAAAAATATCATCTAATCCAAAAAGAGGGTGATTGGTGGGAGGTTATTAGAGACATGGGTAATTTGGACGATCTCTCGTTCTACGTTCCTGCTAATTATGTACGTGTTGTTGACAACAGCGGAAGTAATGTGGACGCCACAACAAAAACGGATGATTCAGGACTTGAGAGGGATGAAGAAATCAGATCAGGAAATAGCACACTAGATGAAGATTCCTCTGACCTCTCAAGTGCACAAGTGACTCCGGAAAAAAATGTCGGCAAAACAGAAAATGGAGTGGTGGGATTAAATAGCAAGATGGAGGAATTAGGCAGTGAGGTAACATTCGAGCGAAAACAATCAACCACCTTTTCCACATTCGGGACTCAGACCACAGGGTCTATAAATCTAAACACTAAGATTGCTGAAAACAAAGGATAT